TGAAGCTGTCCTCTCCACCGCTCGTGCGAACATCCCACCCTCCCACCCGCAACTTGGTCGCAAGACCTTCTGAGATCATGACGGTGGGTACCAAATGGCACTTGGCAGCGACACCGACGCCGACGACGACAGCGACAACGATGACGACGACGACGCCGCCGACAACGACGCCGCCGACAATGACTACGACGACACCGACGACGTCTCCAACGACTTCGACGACGACGACAACGACGACGACAACACCGACGATGACGACGACGGCGACGATGACAACGCCGACGACGACGACGACGCCGCCGCCAACGACGACGGCGTCGATGCCGACGACGACGACGACGTCGCCAACGAAGACGACGACGACGAGGGCTGAGAGAGGACGACGACGGCAACGACGACAACGACGAGGGAGAAGGGAAGACGACGACGACGACGACGACGACGACGACGACGACGACGACGGCGACGAAATAGGAGGAACAGCAACGACGACGGAAACGACGACGACGCCAAGACGACGACGAAGAAGGACAGAGGACGACGACGGCGACGACGACGACGACGACGAAGGAGGAGGGAGGACGGCGACGACGACGACGACGCCAGAGCGCGCGCGCACGCTTTTGTTGAAAATCCGTGTTGCGAAACCGTGTGTTTCTGTAAGTTCTTTGGACACACGATTTTGAAATCCTTCCGAAACCGATGGGTTCTGAAGGATTCCGGCACACGCGCGCGTCTGCACTTCGTCCCATCTGTTGCAGAGGATTCTCGCGACGGCACACGCGCAAGGGCGTTCGACAGATTTCGACACGCGCGCGCACGAAGCCCGTTTGGTAGAAAAAAATGATGGTTACCTTCAGATTTCGCCAGAACTCGCGCGTAAGCTTTTTTAGCAAATCAGTTTTGCGAAACCCTGTGTTTTCGAATGCGTTTTGAAACTCGATTGCGAAATCCTTCCGGCACCAACGGTTTTGTGAAGGATTTCGGCATGCGCGCGCGACCACGCGCGCGCGCAATTCGTCCAATGTTTTTGCAATGGACTCGTGAAACAGTCCGATGCTAAAACAAAAAATGTCCCCGCGTATTGTTATATATATATACACATACAAGGGAACCTCAGGGGGACCGATCTGGGCCCCCTGGGGATAGTGTGAATTCATTGTTAGGATGGACCTGTGGTCTGAATCATGTCTGATTTGCATACCCGAATGGGGGGCCGATAACGCCGGGGGGGGGGGGTAGAGTTTACTTTTTTTGTAAAAAAGGATAATCTATTTCGTGCAAAGATTCTCTGTTTGCAGGGCGCTGTCAACCCCACTGCTCGCGAAATCATCCCAGCCTTGGCTTGCAAAACCAATGCGGCCGCGATTGCGATGGATCCTTGGTATTGGATGGTGCATCTCTGCGGCCGCGCTAGCCCGCGCATGCTCGCGCGCGCAGCGGCCAGCTAGATTGGCGCGACCAGCGCGGCCGCGTTGGCGCTGACCGCTGGGCACCTCCCAACGGGAACTTCACTGCGAGTCGGCGATTTCGGCGGGCGCGGTATCATGGCAACGTCGACAACGGTAGACACGATGATGATAGTAGCGATACACAGGGCGATGTTGACAACGACGACATCAACGCCAGCCACGACGCCGACGCTGATCACGCTAGCGACGATGACGGCGTCCTCGCGTGAGGTTCGACACGGGGTCACGTGATGAAGGTGTTGGGAGGGGTTCGGCATGCGCGTGGGGCCGACGCGCACGGGTGGCCCCCATGGTGGTATTGGACAGGGATCGTGCCCACGCCGGCACGCGCGACGGCGTTCCGACACGCGGCGCGAGAAGCTCGTTTGGCTGAGTCGACTGAGAATGTTGAACAAACATGCCGCTTTTCAAGTTGTCACCAGAGCGCGAGCGCAGACTTCTTTTCAAATCTGATGTGAAAAACCATGCGGTTTTTGTTCAGTGTTTTCGGGGGACACTCGATTTTGACATCTTTACGACACCTAACATTGATCTAATGATTCCAGCATGCGCGCGACGACGCGCGCGCGTGCACATTTTTTGCGACGGGCTCTTGCGACAGCACGCGCGAGAGGGCTATTAAACGATTCCGACATGCGCGCGCGAAGGGCGCTTTTGGTAACATGTGATGAACATGTTGAAACACCCGTGGTTTTTATTAAGAACTCGTAAGAACGCGAGCGCAAGTTTTTGGTGGAAAACTACGTTGCACAGTCTTGTGCTTGTTCACATGTTTTCGGGCCACTCGACTTTGAAATCCCTGTGGGGCCTAAGGTCGTGGAAGGATTTCGGCATGCGCGCGCGACGACGCGGCCGCGTGCACTTCGTCCCATGTGTGCAAGGAATTCGTGGGAACTGATTGATGATTTGTGATAAACGAGTGCGCGCGCTGAACATTACCCTGGAGGGGGCCGATGAGGGTATTTTTCCTGGGATGATACGCTTTCAATATGTAAGATGGGCGATGGGGCAAAATCGCATGCAAACTGCGATACGGAAGGGTGATGCGCTCAGTCTGGGGGGGAGTACAATTCAAAATTTAAAAAACCAAAAAATATATGTTGTGCAATCTGGTTTTTTTTTTTTGCAATCTATGTCAGCACGGCGGCGCAAACAAAAAGCCGCCAGATCGCAACACCAGCCCAGACAACATGCGGCGACGAAATGGCGATGGGGCGGCGAGGGCGACAACATAGCCACCAGAGCGGCACACCGGCCCAGAAGACGGGCGGCGACGAGGCGGCGACGGGGCGGCGAATGCGACTACGTAGACGCCTGAGCGGCACACCGGCCCAGACGACGGTCGGCGACGAGGCGGCGACGGGGCGGCGACGACGACGACTACATAGCCGCCAGAGCGGCAAACCAGCCCAGTTACTTAGTAGAAAACTAATAGCCCCTATAGTAAGTGCGAGCGCTGTGCATGGACAAAAAACAAATCCGTAACCACTGCGTGTGGATCGATCTTCGAAGATCTCGGCAGGCGGTGGATACGGGTATATCTGGCTCCCGCAGGGCCCAAACCATGTCCATCGCTTGCCGAAGATCCGGACAATCGATCCCGCAGGCGGTGGTGAGAAATCCGTATCTTGAAATGCGGGAAGTGCGGGGGATACACGCTGATACACGCACACGCACACGCAAACGCAGGCACACGCGTGCACGCACGCACACGCACACGCGGGCCGAGCTCTGACAAGCCATGCGGCCACGTTTGCAACGCCCGAGGCCGGCCTTCCCATTGAGCAGGAGCCGACCGTCCCGGCATTCCTAGAGTCCTACCACGAAATGTAGAACCCAGAAATGTTCTAAGAACAAAAACAATGTTCTTAGAACATAAGCCCGATGTGTTAAAACAAGACAATCCCAGCCAGAAATGTTCTAACATTTCGTGGACACCACAACAAGTTCTTAGAACATTGTTCGGTAGGGCTATAGGCACGCCGGGACGCTTCGCCACTGCTTGATCCCAGCAACCAGGGGGCCTGGGACAGGAGGTCAGATCATTAGAACGGCGGATTGAATCGGCTCCCGTTATATTTCTAGCCTTCCTCCATCACTTCCCTTCTGCGACGATACATTTGTCCGCGACGTGGGTCCCAGGGAACGCAGATCCTTGCAAGCGACTGGCTATGTATCCTGAGTTGTTTTTGACGCCAAACGGCCAGAAAGCGGCTTCCAGCAGCCGAAAACATACATAGAACAAGCGGCCGTCGTTTTTGTTGGCGACGCCTGGATCTGATTGCTCTGGGCTTGTTCGCTTCTTGTTTGAATTAATTGTTCTATGTATGATGTGGATAAAAAAAACTGAGTGACCTGTCCACGTATGCCATGTGGCCAGAATCTCGAGAATAATCCAGCCGTGGTCACGGCATCGCTCCAGACGGTTCAGAAACGCTCAACAAAAGACAGATCCTCGAATTTCAAACTTGTTCAAAATGCGGGATTCCTGGAAGCCCCGACAGGTTCCCTAAGGATGGTGGTTCACTTGGACGCCCGAAATGGGGAAGAAAGCATATGATGCTCAACAACAAATGTTGCCCGAAACCGACAGCGGCCGCTGCTGGGCAAGCGACCGCCTGTCTCGAATGGACAACGACCGCGGCCTCGCCGGCAGCGCACCCCCTTCAGAATGAGCAGGAACTGCTGTTGGACTTTGTGCCCACCGTTTCCGTACCCATGTCGATCGTCCTGGATTCATTGCCTGGCCCGTGGGGGCGCGCGGCAAGAGGCCAGAAACGGGGAAGAACCTCCGTCTCAATTCCTCCAGGACCTTCGAGGTCTGGGGACGCGCCAAGCCAAACCCCTCGAAGGTCTCGACCCTCTCCCGGGGACCCGCTCTTCGTGCAGAGCCGTTCTCCAACGGCCCCGTGGCCCGGGCAGGGCCCCCAGAAGCCGGAGACTGCCAGACACCTTCCGTCTTCTCCAGAGCCTGTGGTCCTCCAACCTCCCGGCGCCGCCGCCGCCCCCGACGCCACTTCCGCCCGAGCTCTTGAGAGCCCGCTGTGGAAGGGGAAAGAGACAGAGAGAGAGAGAGAAAGCGAGGGGAGGGGGAAAGAGAAAGGGCAAGAGATACACATGGAGCGAGAGAGAGAGAGAGAAAGAGAAAGAAAAGGGAGGTGAGGCATGGGGAAAAGAGAGAGAGAGAGAGAGAGACATCAAGGAGGACAAGCCAAACAGAGAAACAACATGTCGAGAAAGAGAGAGAGAGAGAGTGTGTGTGTGTGTGCATGAGAGAGAAAGAGAAGAGAGATGAAAAAGGGAGAGAGAGAGAGAGAGAAAAAAAAAAAGGGAGAGAGAGGGTGTCTGGGTAGATATATATATATATATATACACATACACTTATCTGTATATATGTATATATACACATACAGAATGACCAGCCGAGAAATAACATGCGAAAGCATAGAGCGAACAAGAAACAGAGAGAGGAGGAACAGCACATACGAAGAGGACGTAACCAACATGAGAGGAGCACCGCGCGATCTCCTCCTCGCCGGCCCGAACCACGCAGAGCCGCGCCACGACGTCGCACTCGCGGGCGGTCGAGCCCACGTAGAGCGACGCGCGCACCTCACCGACCACCTCCGGCGGGCCACGGCCACCGTGCTGCCGCAACCCCGACAAGTCGGGCGATCTGCTGTGCTCCCAGCCGTGCTGTGGTGCTGGGTCCTCGCTTCGAAGAAACAGCGCCCCGCGCCCTCACCTTCCGGCACCTGGTCCTCTCCTCCTCCTCCTCCTCCTCCTCCTCCTCCTCCTCCTCCTCCTCCTCCTCCTCTTCCTCCCCCTCCCCCTCCCCTTCCTCCTCGCCTCCTCCTCCCCCTCCCCCTGTCCCCTCCTCCTCCTCCTCCTCCTCCTCCTCCTCCTCCTCCTCCTCCTTCCCCTCCTTCCCCTCCTCGTCATCATCATCCTCCCTCCTTTCATCCCTGCCTCTGCCCTCCGCGTGTGTTTGCTTTGGTACACCACTCACACGCTTCGTGGCCCCACATGCAGTTGCACCGAAGGCACCAATGGCAAAGTTCGCACGGTGCCGCCGCCTTGTTGTGGCGCACCTCTCACACGGTTCGTGGTCCTCTAGCCCTAAGGAGCTTCACCGAAGGCTTCAGTGGAAAAGTTCGCATGGCGGCGCCGCCACATTTTGACGCATCCCCCGCCCTGCGAAGGAAACTATAGAGAGGGACGCAACAAACAAATGAGAGAGAGAAAAAGAGAAAGCAAATAAACAAAACAACCATGCAGTCTCGCATCCGCCTGCAGGCATCGGCTCCCTCTACGCGGCGAAGACCGGTCAATCGCATTATTTGTCTTACTCAAATGGTCATCGGCCACAAAGGGGGGAAGAAAAAAGGAGGAGGCGCGCGCTCACGCCGGCCGCGCCACCAAAACCTCACGCCGGCTTCGAACCAGGGCAGGTCAATATTGGATTCCCTTTGATCATGTCAATGCCCTGGGAGGCCAAAGCGGGCCTGCGTGCGTACGGCGGGCGCGCGGGGTCGCCGGACGCGCGCAAAACGTGCACGCTGGTCAGATTGAGGGGCCGCACAGTCATTCATTGGCCCTGGGTGCGTGGCTGAAGTGAGAATCCGCGGTGAAGATTTTGTTTCTTGCGTTGTTGTTGTCGTCGTTGTTGTTATTTTTGTTGTTGTCGTTGGTTGTCGTCGTCCCCCCCGCGACCCAACCGCGACCCACCCCGCGACCCACCTTGCGACCCACTCCGCGACCCACCTCGCGACCCACCCGCGACCCAACCCGTGACCCACCACCACCCGCGACCCACCCCGCGACCCACCCGCGACCCACCCTGCGACCCACCCCGCGACCCACCCCGCAACCCAACCGCGACCCACCCGCGTCCCACTTGCGACGCACCCGCGACCGATCCACATTGGTTGGAGAAAGGATCGGCGCATGTGGCACGCTCGTTGTATAATTTGTGGAACTTTGGCGCCTTCGGCGGGCTCGCGCAGAGTCTCGCAGACTGCCGACGTCCCCGCCGCCCCATCACTCTTATCCGCATTTGCGGGGTGCTACGCATCCCTTCTGCGAACGTTGCTAAGCACGGCGGGGCGAGCTCAGAACGGCCATTTGGGGCGATTGTTTTGGGTACCCCTGTACTCCTAAACGCGTTTAGACTGGCTGCGTCTCGTTATGCAAGCGGTACGCGTGGATGTGTTCGCCGCCGCTGCAGGGCGCGAATCCATCCAGATCCGCCGCCTGCCAGGGGCCACGAATATCGATCCCCAAGGCGGTTGCGATGGATAAGCTCCCGCCTCGGATCGAGGCCCTCGAGCGCCTCTCACCGCCGGCCGCCGGAGAGGAGGGCCAGGAACAGAAGCTGGTTCCCAGATTATGGGGGCGAGGGGAAGCGACAAACGGAGGCCGAGCAAGGAGGGGCGACAATGGGAGGCATGCGTGGCGCCTGGGTCGAACGGCGCGAAAACGGGTCTGAAGGTCGCTGGGGGGGCAGCGTTGTTTCGAGGGCCGGATCCCCGCACGCTCGGCGGGCGCGCTTGATCGGTCAACAGCAATCCTTCCAGCCGCCCTTCGCGAGAAGCTCTGATTTCAGATTTGCTCTTGCCGACGATTGGGCTGCTCATGCTTGCTCTTGCCCTACAAAAGCATTGCCCTCTCCCCCGTCGCCCCAGAAACACAGATCGCGTTCGCTGCCCACCAGCGAGCTTCAAACGGAAACGGACCGAGTCGCGACACACCCTCCCCTCCCCCTCCCTCCGTGGCAGCGCGGGGGCGCGCAGCACGAACGCCCCGCCGCGCCCCTTTCCGCGTGCGACGCGCCGGGGGGCGGTGGACGCACCCCGCAGAAGGCAACCCTCATCGAGCCGTAGCGCGTCGGGTTCGGCAAGGCACTCAATCAACGTCCCCGACGCCCTCACCACACCTTGTCTGACGCCCTCCCCGTCTCGACGCCTTTCCCGACGCCCAACCCCGCGCCCAGCGACAATACTGACAACCACCGCAGCAACTTCCGCCTGCGCCGCTTGGTCGGGGTCGCCGCCGTAGTGTCCGTGGCTTCGTCGCGGGTGGCCCTCCTCTCCCTGCCCCAGGCCCTGCCCGTCTGCTTGCGGTTGCGGTTGCTCCCCCTCCTCCTCCTCCTCCTCCTCCTCCTCCTCCTCCTCCTCCTCTTCCTCCTCCTCCTGCTCCTCCTGCTCCTCCTCCTCCTCCTCCCCTCCTCCTCCTCCTCCTCGTCCTCCTCCTCCTCCTCCTCCTCCTCCTCCTCTTCCTCCTCCTCCTCCTCCTCTCCTTCCCTCTCCAGCTCATTGCCTCTGCTGTCTTCGCCTGAGTCAGTGGCTCGCCCCCCCCCCCCGCCTGCCCGCCCACCCCGCCGGCCCCGGCCTCCCGCCTGCGCGCTCGTGGTCGCCTGCCCGCGTTGTCCTTCCCCCCCCCCTCCTTTCGCCGAACCGCACAGCCAGTCTGGGCCCGCCGTGGCGGCGCGCGGGTGGTCATTGCAGGGCTGTGCTCCCCCAGGCCAGGAGGACGTACAGTCGGGGCGTTGACCTAAGGAACCCTAAATAAGGAACGAGGCCCCTGTTTTCCACAAGTCGAACTTCGATTTCCCATCGGAAACCTGAGGACAACCTAAAACAAATTGTGAAACAATCAAGGAACACGGAGCCACTCCCCAGCGAAAAAGGTTCCTTCTTCAGCGCCCCGACTGTAGGGCCTGTCTCGGATCGCCCCTGGGTCGGGCGCAAATCGGGTCATGAGCGGGTCACGAATCGGATCGGATCGACATCGGAATCCAGGTTTGGTGATGGGGTCGGACGGGTTGGAGCGTGAGCAGCCCTGGGAGGTGGTGCCTGCGGGAGAGAAGGCAGGGAGGGGCAGGCAGCGGCGATGGGGTCCAAGCGGGACCCCAGCCCCCAGTAAGAGGGCAAATCTGGACGAGAGCACATCGGAAATCTCTGAAAAATGGCGGGGCTGGAGGACGTATCAGGCGCCATATCCACAACGCTTTGAGAGCGTTCTGAAAACTGATGGGGCGATGTGTCCTCATCCTGGGGCTGCACGGCCGAAGCCTCTCAACCTTCTACTCATCAGCATCGCGTCCCATTGCAGATTCGACGAGGGCCACAGCAGTCCTGGGCGGCCGATGCACTGATGGCATGCCTCCACCTTTGGATTCACGTCGCACCAGAAGCGGATCCGCCAGGGCCACGAAAGCGCCCCCGGAGGCATCAGAAAGCCCAGGAATATCCACACACACACACATACGCATTGATTCCTTTGACCTCTTCCACGGATCGTCGAACAACAACATCAACAACAAATCTCCATCGTTGCCAGACATCCTCCGATATCCTCAGGCTTACAGTTGAAGCGTCGATCACCGACCTGAAAAATTACAAGCGTCAACCGATTTGCCAGCGCGGGTCCAAACAGTACGCTATTGTGAACGGTTGGAAACTAAGCGGTGAAAGCTGCGCGATGCAAGCTCTACGATGCAAGCTGTGTGCGGTATTAGCTTTATGGTAAAAGCCACGCGGTGATAGCTATGTCATGCAGACTCTGCAAGGTAAGCTGTGTTGTGCCGTCTATGTGGTGTAAGCTATGCTGAACAACGGGTTGCCAGCTATGCAGTGTGAGTTATGTGGTGCAAACTATGTGGGGAAAGCTATGCCGTAAAAACTACGTGACCCAAACTCTGCGGTAAAAGCTATGCCGTGAAAGCTATGCCGTGAAAGCTATGCCGTAAAAACCTTGTTGTGCACGCCACGTGGTGCAAGCTACGCCGTGAGGCTTATGCGGCGGAATATGCGTGGTGCAATTTATCCAGTGTAAGCTATGTGGAGCAAGATCTGGGGTGCAAGCAAAATGCCCGAAGCGCTGTGGCATAATATACGTGGTGCAAGCTATACTGAGCACGACGTACGTGGCAACCGATGTGGTGAAAGCCACGATGCGTCGGATATGTGGTGGAGTATACGTGGTGCAAGCCGCGCAGTGTAATATATGTGCTGCATGCTATGCTGTGCAAGCTATGTGGTGCAGACTGCGCGGTGTAATACGCTTTGGTGCAAGATATGATGTGCAAGCTATGTGGCGCAATCTGGGTGGTGCAAGCTAGGTGGTGCAAGCTAGGTGGTGTAAGCAGTATTGTGCAAGCTGTGCAGTGAAGGATATGTTGTGCAAACTTTCCAGTGGCCTCACGAGCGACCACGGGCGGGGATCGGGCGGAACCTCGGCATCCCCCTCCAGCGAGGGGCACCCTCGAGGCGACCACTGTTGGAGCACAAGGCGAAACATCGGCAGACCCATCCTGCGAACTGGGTTTAGACCGTCGTGAGACAGCTTAATTTTACTCTACGGATGCCCTTGATACTGCGACAGTAACCGAAGTCAGCACGAGAGAAGCACTTCGATCAGATACCTGGTGAATGCGGCGAGCTGGAAAAAAAAACGAGTACCGCTAAGCTGCCATCCGTTTGATCACGACTGAACGCCTCTAAGTCAAAAATGGATGGGCTTGTTCTCCACCACCACCATAAGTTGGAGGGGGAGGGGGTCCTCCTCCTCTTCCTCCTCCTCCTCCTCCTCCTCCTCCCCCTCCTCCTTCCCACCTCCAACTCATGGTGGTGGTGGTGGTGGACAACAGGCCCCTCGAGAGTTCCTGCTGGCGGAGCAGTGTGGCCCACGCGGCGCCCAGGGCGGGCACCGGGCGAAGTCTGCGCAGAGGCCCCCCGGCGCAAGGCCCCCCCACGGGGCGCTTACGGGCGCCCGCACGATGGGCACCGCCCGAGAGCCTTGGCAAACCCATCCAATGTGGTGGGCTCGTGTTCCACCGCCGCCACCATGACTGGAGGGAGGGAAGGAGGAGGACGAGGAGGAGGAGGAGGAGGAGGACGAAGAGAAGGAGGACTTTCCCCGACTTTACCCCCAGGACAACGTCCCTACGAAGAGAAGGAGGAGGACGAAGAGGAAGAGGAGGAGGAGGAGGTGGAGGAGGAGGGGGAGGGGGAGGGGGAGGAGGAGGACGAAGAGGAGGAGGAGGACGAAGAGGAGGAGGAGGAGGAGGAGGAGGAGGTGGAGGAGGAGGACCCCTCCCCCTCCAACTCATGGTGGTGGTGGTGGTGGTGGAAAACAACCCCCATCACAGTTCTTGGAGGAAGACAAGCAAGAGCCCCGGAGTGCCAGCTCTTCTTCGGAGCAAGAACACCTTGTTCTATGATTCGCGATGACAGGCGTATCGGGGCCGCCAGAAAAAATCTTAGGAGACCCTCGAAGAAACCGTAGGGCATCTTTGCACATGTGGGCAAACTGGCGTGGCGTGATCCAGGGGGGAGGACTAGAAGGAGAGGGCAGATCACGGCCGTTGCCGCCCCAGACCTTACCAAACAACTTTTTTAGTCGGCGGCGAGGCAGAGGCAGTCCGCTCCAGCGTGTGCCTATTCGGGGCAACCGAATGGCTAATTGGCCGGCGTGCAAGAGGGAGAGAGAAAGACGAGAGCGGCCGCGCGGGGGGGGGAGGGGAGGGGAAAGCGCCCAGACCTTAACAAAAACAGGCTCCAAACATGATTCAGTCCACTCGGGCGTCTTGGGTCTGCACTGGAGGCCCCTCTCTGGCGTGCGGCAAGCGCTCCAGGAGCTGGCGAGTATATCTCCAGGAATGCCGCGCGGACCCCCGAGAGTGCTCGCTCATGCCCTTCTCTCGTCTTCGGCGATAAGGGGGCCGACGCTCTTGAGACGAGGGGCGAGACTCGCGATCGGGCGCCGGGCCTCAAGATCCAGGGGCGAGTCCCGCAGAAGACTGCGGAGGCCGAGGGCGAGGTCGCGGGCTGGAAGCGGACCAAGGGGTGTAGACTGCTTGGTCTGAGCTGGCTGGGATCCAAGAAGCTCGGTCAGGAGGGTCAGATCAAAAGGTCAGAACCTGGCTGGGCTCCAAAGCCAACTACGCTCAAGATCAATCCTGAGACCCCATCCAGGTCCTGGGGTCCACCTGGTGCAGCTGGTCAGTCCAGATCCCTTTTTGACGGTCCCGGGGCCAGAGCACGTCTCCCAGAGACTGGACAGGGAAAGACGACAGCAGAAGCAAAAACTCGAACCCAGAACCTCGAAGCGCTCGCCAAAACCGGGTGCTGGGCCACTGCAGAACCCCACAGACGGCTCCCCGTCGAGGGCCACCGATCTCGCCCCACCGTCGCCCCCCGCTCCGCCGCGGGCCTCCACCGCGTCCCGCAGCGGCGCGGAGGTCCAGACCAGCACGTCCCGCCGGTGGCGCTCCAGAGCCCGCTGGTCCTCTCTGGCGCGGCCCGCGCGGCTGTCTCGTCCGCGAGGGGGGCTGGGCTCTGCACGTCTGTGGTCCCCAGCGTGCTTTGAGGACCGCGTCCCCGAACACGAGAGTCGAGCCCCCGGGCACGCATGGGAACAGTGGCTGCCCGACGCGCTGCCGCCGAAGTGTCGAACCAGTACCGCCGCCTGGCGCCCGATACGCGAAGGCCCTCCCGTTTCGGTACTTTCTTCTCGGTGCTCGAAACTCTGCCATGCGACCAAGGCTGAAGTAGGCTGGAGTATCATAATCCTACACTGCCCTGGAAAGTGGTGCAGCTTTCCTTGTTGAGTCGTCTGTGTTCGTCGCCTTCGGTTTTTCGTCGCGCTTGCCTTCCGGGGGGGCCCCGGCTTCGGCCCCCGGACGAATTTTCGAGACGGCCTGCAATAGTTGCAGCAGTTGTCTATGTGGGTGTAGGGCAGGGAGTATCGGCCTGGAATCGGCGATGCATCGCCGACAGATCGGCGATTGCCAGCACTGACGCCATGGCCAGCTCGGCGTCATCGCCGTCGTCGCTCGACCTCCTATCCATCAACACTGGGCGTCGATGGCGTCGACGCTCGATGTCGTCTTCGTCCCCACCGTGTCCGTCCCCATTTGCGGTTCCCTCGGTCCTCCTCCTCCCGCATACGCTGGGATCGGGTCGGGCGAAAGGGGGTGGGTGGGAAACGGTGGGGGGTCACAGAACAGGCTGCATGCAGCTGGTG